CGGGGCCTCGAGCGGCGCCCCGCGGAGGCCGGGCGGTCTCCGTCTCCGACTTGTACCTCTCTCGTTCTTGACCCGGTTATTTTTACTCCCCTCTTCCCCAACAGGTCAAAGACTAACGTCGTTGCTAAATCAGAACCGTATTTTCCCCTTGGCGCCCCATGGGAAGGAGGGGAGCACGTTCATTCATTCCTCCATCAACAGGTTGCAGTTTCAGCGATCCAGGCATCACGTATTCTTTAAATAGCTGATATTTCAGGCATGGCACTGCCGAGATCTACAGGAAAGTACGCGATCCGGACCTCTGGGAAATGACAGCTTCAGGGCAATCTGATGACGTCCACGTGGGGTGCACACCGCTGAGGAAGGAACGCCCCAGGCCGCGGGGCGACGTGTAAAATGGGGGGTGGGGAGCGGGCAAGATGTCCCAACTGAAAAGTGTGGGAAGAAGTATTTCCGTTGGAGCTGGATTGCTGGAGTTCTGTGTGCTCCTTCAACCAACGTAAGCCCACGTATTCCTGCGAAGTAGGACGGCGATCCCACCCCAAAACTGGAATCTCTACGGGTCAAAGCACCCAACATTCAGCTCACTGTACTGTAAGAAGCAGTTGAGAAGTAAAGGCAACCTCTGCAAGACCTGGAACGTGACTCTATCTTGCCTTAAAATCAGAGCCATCCAGCTTGTTTACCCCCATCTCCCACTGCTAAACAGAAATGCCCTCAGTCAACCCAAAATTTGGTACAACTACCACTTTGTTCAGACTTACAATATAAAACCAGCACAGGGACTTTTTTTTTTTTGAGTTGGAATCTCACTCCGTCGCCCGGGCTTGGAGTGCGGTGGCACGCTCACAGCCACCCCAGCGTCGACCTGCTGGACTCCAGAAATCCTTCCGCCTCAGCCTTCCTAGTAGCTGGAGCTACAGGCGAGCGCTATCACGCCCGGATAATTTTTGTGAATTTTTTTTTTTTTTTTTTTAAGAGATGAAGTCTCGCCAAGTTGCCCAGGCTGGTCTCGAACCCTTAGGCTCAGGCAATCCACTCGGCCTCGGTCTCTCAAAGTGCTGGGATTACAGGCTGAGCCACCAAACCCGGCTTTTTTTTTTTAAATCAACACGTACTGTCTTCTGGTCTACATGAAAATAAAAGCTACTTGACAAATGCCTTTACTGATGAACTACCTAGGCAAAAACTTAGAAGGGCATGTTCCCATTGCTGAGACCCTGCATGAGTTGTGCGGGAATTTTAAGTCATTTCAGCTGTGAATATTTACAGTCCCTCTTCCCACTTTATAAGATTTTTAAGGTGTGATCTGCTGCCTACACCCAGCTTCAACATTGGTCAGTTTGGAAAATCCACACTGAAAATTTTTGTTTTAGTTTCTTATATTCTCAATTTGAAAATGGTGGAAGTTTATTTAGGAAGCTTTGGCTTGTGTGGAAGCAGTACAGCTTGTAAGAACAATGAAAGAAATTGTCATATCATAGCTGCATCATAAGGATAGTGACAATTAAGACACAAGGATAGGAGAGAATAGAGTCAGAAACAGTCACAGCATGTGATGATGTGGTTGACTTGTTGCCCCTACAAAACCACTAAACTTGGCCAAGCGCAGTGGCTCACACCTGTAATCCCAGCACTTTGGCAAACTAAGACGGGGCGATAACTTGAGTCCAGGAGTTTGAGGCCTTGGTGAGCTGTGATTGTGCCACTGCACTTCGGTCTGGGCGACAGAGGAGGCCCTAATTAAAAATTAAATAAACTTGAATTGTAAGTTCATCTTCACCCCCACTCAGGTACCAAACTTGTCTGAGACCAGGACAACTTGTGGTTTCACTTCTAAGACAGTTTTGAATTTAACGTTCGCTAAAGCTGGAAGGGACTCTAAAGATAAGAGTATTCAACTCAATATTCAATCTAATCATTTAATAGATGAATAGGTTTATTCAGAAAATAAAAATGACCTACTAGTTGGAAGCAGCTTGGAAGTCATGCTTTCTGATTCTAATTCCAAAGCTCTTTTTACTTCACTATACTTATTTCCTTTTGCTGCTACTCTGATTTGCTGTTCTCTGTTAACTGGTTCTGCCTTTTTCTCGTATGACACCTTGTATCCAAGCTCTCAAATAACTAAAATATTACCTGCCCGCACAGTTCTACCAACAACTGGAGTTACTAATTACAATTTTTTATTTTATTTTATGAAATGGCCTTCCAGTTTCATTCCCACTTCCCTTCTCCTTGCTCCATAAGCCCACCCCTTAAGTGATTAACTCCTGACCTTGTTCCTGTGGTGGGGTCACAGGCCTTTACCATATTCCAGGGTTGGCCCAGATTCCCAACCTTCTTTGATCTGACCTGCCCAGTTGTCCCTGATATTAACCAAGTCTCTAGGGTAGCCATATCTTAATTGAAAGATGAGGTCACAAAGAATGTCCATGTGCTGGGATTCTGTATTCGTTAGGATCTCATTGTTCTAACTTTAAAGTAATGGGGGGAACAGACTGTCAACTATGTATAAGACTATGTAGAAAGAA